TGAAAGGGTCGTTCAGCCCCCAAAGGGGTCGCGACCCACAGGTTGAGAACTGCTGCCCTAAAGTATATTTTGCAAAATACTAGTATCTGTTATATATAATTTAAAAATGTGTATGTGTTGAGGGGGCTCCATGGTTAAAGTATGGAGAAATTTGGGTAAAACAAAAGTTAATCAGGTCTTTACGGAAGGTTTTCTCAGGACCTTTAAAATGCTAACGTGAACTATAAATATTCACGAGGGAAGATTATAATATGCAAAGTTTTCAAACATTTGTCTCCTGGGAATCCTTTGCACTTGGAGCATCTCAAGCCAGTGACACTCTGAGTGCACACTCTGGGAACTTCTGTCCTCAGGTTCTCACGCCGCAGGAACCTTGAAAGCATCAGAGAGGTTCCCTTACTTGGGCCAGAGGAGCCAGTGGGAGAAGTCGCAACTTAATACATATCCCCTCGGTGTGTGGGCTGGCCAGGGTGCCAGGTGCTTTAGAGACCCTTTCTCATACAAGCCTTCCAACAGCAATGTGAACAGGTGTGATTATAGCTCCCCTTTGTGAGAGGGAAACCAGTCAGAGAGGACAAATATGTAGCCCGAAGTCAGCACATGAACCGAGGTTTGTTTGACTCCCAAACTCAAACCATCCAAACCTGTAAGACTAGATGGTCTTAATCAGCGGTTCTCAACCTGGGGGTCGAACAACCCTTTCACAACGGTCACCTAAGACCATCGGAAAACACATATATAATTACATATTGTTTTTGTGATTAATCACTATGCTTTAATTATGTTCAACTTGTAACAATGAAAATACATCCTGCATATCAGATATTCACATTACGATTCATAACAGTAGCAAAATTACAGTTATGAAGTAGCAACAAAAATAATTTTATGGTTGGGGGTCACCACAACATGAGGAGCTGTATTAGGAAGGTTGAGAACCACTGGTCTAAATGATGGTGGAGGGTGGGATGCAACCCAACCAGCCAACCTTCCCCTTCCCCTTCTCCCACCAGTCCATCTACATAGACTCTTAAACCCCATGCTCTCCAGGGGTGGTTTCTGGTTCTGCATTGTATCGGGGGTTTGTCGCTCCATCTCATGCTGGCCATGGGTCAGGTCCTCGGTAAGTTCGAGCAGCCTGGGTCGTGGTCCCAGGGTCTGGTCCACCTGTGCTCAGGAGGCAGACGGAGGGACCAGGTGGCTGTGGTGATCCTGACTGGCTCAGGGTCAGAAAGCTCTGTGGGAACTATCCATTCACTTTCTCTTTTCCTGGCATTTTCTCCTTGCTCTCCCCTTCTTTGTAGTCACATATCTCATTCTCCTCCATCTGCTGAATGCATTAGAACCTGAGGGCCCCGATACGTGCCAGCACTTCTGCCAGGGCACCCGTAGGGCACCAGCCCTGACAGGCTGCAGTGGCCAAAAGCTGGCGGAGAGGTGAAGGGGTGTGGGGCGTGGAAGGGTGCCAGCTGATGGAGGCGGAGTCTTCCACCTCGTATTTGGAGGGAGAAAATGGGGAATTTCTGTATTTACTGGAAAAAGCAATGGCATGTCTTTCAGGAAAAGATCTGAGACAGATTATTTTCTTCTACTGTCCTTACCTTCCTCTCATGAGACTCCTGGGGAATTTGGTAGGGATTAGTCACTCCTGCTAATTAATTGCTAATTTGGTTAGAAGGAGACAGGTCTTTTTGAGCTTTATGCTCAGAAATTCAGGTGTTCTGAAACTGAACTCACTGTCTCCCTATCCGTGGATACTCCTCTCCCTGGGGACCCCGTCTCCACACATGGTGTTGCCCCCTTCCAGACCCTCAGGCTAAAATGCTGCCCCTTTTCTTCCACCTCGAATCATGGACAGCCTTGTCAACTCAGCCTCTGCAAGAGCCCTGATGGGCTCCCCCCTACTCCCCACTGTGCTGGCCTTCGATCAGCCCTCATTGTGTCTCCCCTAGGCCCTCACGCCTCTGCTGAATGCTGTCCCTAATGTCGGCCATGCGCCAAGCCGTCAAGATGCCTTTGTGCAGGAGTCAGCAACAGGCTGCTGGGATTTTTAGAAGCAACCTTGAACTAGAGTCTAGTTCAAGGCAAACTTTTTGACTCGAGGGCCACAATGGGTTCTTAAACTGGACCGGAGGGCCGGAACAAAAGCATGGATGGAGTGTTTGTGTGAACTAATATAAATTCAAAGTAAACATCATTACATAAAAGGGTACGGTCTTTTTTTTTTTTTTTTTTTTTAGTTTTATTCATTTCAAACGCTGAACTAGACACATAACTTAGCCCCAGGCTGGCAAGGGTCCCTGAAGGGTGAGGAAGAATTATCCAGACAAATAAGGGAAAGTTGATTCTGCACAGAGTGTGAGCAAATACACAGACAATGAATGTGTGCTGTGGGGAACTTGAATAGTATGACCTTGAAGATGTGGCAGCAGGTGTTGCAGCTACTTAGTGTCGTGTAACAAAGTGACCCCAAACTTAGTGCTTAAAACGGTGACAGCATTTAGTTTGCTTACTTAATCTGCCCTCTATCTAAGGCTCGGTAGGGATAGCTCAGTCTGTTCCTCTTGACATCAAAGATGGGCTGGAATCCTCCAAAGGCTCGCTTGGTAACATGATGCTGGCTGCAGGCTGAAACTAGCTGGAGTTGTCACCTGGGACACCAACTGTGGCCTTTTCATGTGTAGGAAGCCTGGGCTCTCATAATGTGATGTCTGTGTTCTAAGGGTCCCGAAAGAGAAAGAGCCGGGTAGATTTTCTGTTGACATTCAGGACTTAGCCTCGGGGCTGCACAGCATCACTTTTGCTTTATTTTCTTCATAAGAAGCAAGCAGCTAAGACTGACCATATTGAAGGGAAAGGAACAGAGACTCCATCCTTTGATGAAGGAATGCCATTGTCACGTTGTAAGAGGTGTATGTGGGACAGGAGATTGGCGTGGCCATCTTTGTCAAATACAATCAGCCACAACAGAGTATGAAGCCAGAGTCGGTCGAGGTCTAGGACGTGTCACGTCTTGGATACCAAGCCAAGGACATTCGTTTTTATCTTGTAGGAAGTGGGGAGCCAGTGAAAGGTGTTAATTTGGGTGTCACCTGCTCACGTCTGTATTTGAGTCAGCTCTTTCTGGAGTGGGGTGGGAGGGTGGAAGGTTTGGTGGGCAGACAGAGACCTGTGAGAGGCTGTTGCAGTAAGCCAGGGAGAGAGGGGAAGGTGTGAGGCAAGGCATAACAAGGAGACGAAGGGCAGGTCAAGCTTGAGAGACACCAAGAAGACATCACAGGACTTAGCAGAGGCACCAAATGCCAAGGGATGAGGAATGGGGCATCTAGGAGGATTCCAGGTTTCTGGCTTAGGGAACTGAATGGCAATAATGGAGTACGAAGGGAAACGGGAGAGATTTGTGGGGAAGGACGGTGAGCCCTGTTTGGGAAGTGATTAGTCTAAGGCAGTGGTTCTCAACCTTCCTAATGCGGCGACCTTTTAATACAGTTCCTCATGTTGTGGTGACCCCCAATTTTGTTACAAATTGAACATAATTAAAGCGTAGTGATTAATCACAAAAACAACATGTAATTATATATGTGTTTTCCGATGGTCTTAGGCGACCCCTGTGAAAGGGTCGTTCGACCCCCAAAAGGGTCGCGACCCACAGGTTGAGAACCGCTGGTCTAAAGGGTCTGAGAGTGTCCACATGAACACATCCAACAGATGGAATTTGGGGGGCATTAGTCTTTAGGGGATGGTCAGAAGAAGAGGATTGGCAAGGCATCCAAGATCCAGTTGCCGCTTCCCTGGATTTGGCGTGGACCAGGGACTTGGGGCTTGAGCATGCTCAGATGGCCTGTGTCCACGGAAAACAGTGACCTGGGCAAACCCCGTCACTCTCCCCCTCACTGTCCGGGAGCCCCAGGCTGGCCTCGCAAAGGCTCTGCCCTGGCAGGTAGAAGAGGAAATGTCAGCTCTGATCCCACAGCCTGGAGCGGGGCCCCTGCAGAGGGGGCAGGATTAGCTTTGCAAGGAAACAGAAATGAAGGTGGAGCCCCTGTTGTTCTCCTGAGACGCCAGGCGTTCAATTAAGAGAGGAACGTTGGCAGACTATGAAACGTCCCGCACCCCACCCTTCCCTGGAAGAGCAGTGCAGTCCCCAGAAGGGGCACCTTCCAGGGGGCTCGGGGATGTACGACTCCTGCTTCCGAACCTGCTGGGGCCCCGCCCAACAGCCGAGAACCCAGGAGGGCCCAGGGCCCAGCCTGGAGCTGATTCCAGATGCCACCCTCCCCGCTGTGCATCTGTCCCCATTAACCACAGAATTCACATTTACTCACACCCATATGACAGGGTATATGGGCAGGATGGAATGCAGAGACAAGGCCTTATCACCCATCCAGGGAAACAGCCAGCACAATCACAGATAGTCCTGACAGAGGCGATAACAAGCTTGGGACATTCATTAAAACCAGGTGGTCTGTGCACCTATCCTGGTGAGTCATGGGGGTATTAGAGGTGGGCCTGTGCACAGGTATTGCTGGAGTCTGGGGAAGGGAGGACAGGTCAAGAGGAGTGGAACACCGGCCTGGGGTGTGTCAGGGCCCTGGGAGTGACCTGACTTGGCTGGAGAATGACTTCAGCCCTCGCAGGACAGGAGGAAGGACAGCAGCAGCCCACAGGGCACTGAGATGCCATCGTGTTGGAAAACACGTCAAGCGATGTGGCTTAGTCAGGCCTTTCCCAGAGGTGCTTCTCCACCCCTAGTTTACGGGCAGTTTATGGCAGCAGTGATAAGAACGGCAGGGATGCTGGGAATGCATGGCTGAGAGCGCACTGAGTCCCAGGAGAAACCTGATATGACGATGATGGCATTTCACCCTCAGGACTGCCTGATCAAATCAGTGTTTCTAAGTAATAGGTGAGAAAACAGAGCAGAAACAGAACGGGAGGCCCAGGTGGGCAGCCAGGGCTCACTGTCCAGGGACCTCATGCGTCACACGGTATCTGCCCAGGTGTTCGTGCTCTGCCATGGCCTCCTGCAGCTCTCCCAGCTCCTGTACAGCGCCTACTTCAAGAGCAGCCTCACCACCATCGAGAAGCGCTTTGGCCTCTCCAGTTCTTCCTCGGGTCTCATTTCCAGCTTGAATGAGGTGAGCAGCAGGTTCTGGGCCATCCGACCCCACTTGTGCACCCTGATCTCGAGGCCTGGGAGGGGGGTCCGGGAAGAACAGTTCCTGGGGAGCTGGGGTAGACACCTGGGGAAAGGAGACAGCCAGGTGCAATGGGCATGGTGGAAGCAGCTACCAATTCCAGGGCTTCCTGGCACCAGGCACTGAGCTCAGAGCCTCAGTGGCTCCAGGTAAGGAGATGGGATGCCCAGGCTCAGCTTCGCTCTTCTCTTTCCATGAGGCCCACTGTTCTGGGATCCCTGACCTGGGGCCTCCTCACAGCAGCCCTGTGAGCAGGTGCTCTGCTTGCTCCTCCCACCTGACAGATGAGGGCACTGGGGCTCAGCAAATGCAGCAGCTTGCCCCAGGTGTGCAAGGCTGTTGGCTCAAAATTCTGAGCCTCTAATTGAATTCCCTGACCACCCACGAGTTTATGTGACCTCTGCCCATCCCCAGTCGAGGAGGAGGTGAGCCCCACGCATGCAGGTGGGGAGCAATCCCAAGCCCAGCGGCTCCAATATTATGAGCATCACAGAAGCCAGAGCTTTTACCCCCCAGAAAAGTCAGATCTCTACGACCTCCCAGCAATGTGGCTTTCACACAGTCCCTCAGTGACTACACACCAAAGTTTGAGAAGATAGGGGGGGACTGAGAGGTCAAGGGTGGGAGGTCAGAGGGCCAAGAGGTCAGGGGTGGGAGGGTCAACAAGGAGCCACTGGAAGTCAGTGAGAAAGAGGCATGGGAGGCAGCAGAGCCCTTCCATCATGGCAGCAACGTTGGTGGCTCCAGGTGAGGAGATGAGATTCCCTGGCCCAGCCCTCTCTTCTCTTTCCATGAGGCCCCCTGTTCCGGATGAGCTCACCAAGACCAGAGTAGCGGTACAGGGACTGAGCTCTGAGAGTTGAGAGTTTGGGGAAGCGAAGAGGAACCAGCCAAGGAGATTGAGAAGGAGCAGCCAGGGGAAGGAGAGTAGGAGGAGTTGGTGCCATGGAAACCCAGGGAAAGAAGTGTTGCAGGAAGAATCAAACGGTGCTGAGAGATCAAGGAAGAAGAGAGCTGAGAACTGACAGTGAATTTGGCAATAAGAAGGTCACTTGTGATCTTGGCAAGAGCCAGGTACCAAGTCTCTGGCCCTATATCCTGAGACAAGGCACCTGCTTTTCGAGCCACAAGGAGACTGTGGTGTGGACAGGGCAGGGGCAATGGGTGCTGACATTCAGGGCTCGAGTCCAGGCGAACGTAAGTTCCTGGCCAGAGGGTGATGTCGTTGGACGTAGTTGTAGTCATAAGATCTGCCAGCACCCCTTTGACCATTTATGACCCTTATCCCCAAGCTGGGGCCTTCGGTTCCCTTCCCTGGCTCTGGGTGGAGCTCAGAGCGCACACCTTCCAGTGAGCACCAGGAACATGGAGTTACTGGTGCGCTCAACTGGTAGGGATGTAAGGCTGCCTTAGTCCTTGTCCCCCATTGATAGAAGTGGAGGCAGACCTAGGGAGGGACAGGGGCAGGTGAGGAGCAGAGCTGCTAGGACAGAAACCCCCTCCTCCAAGAGGCAGTAGGACTAATTTAGTTAAAACTTAGTATCTGTCCAAGCCACTTCCTAACCTCATGGACCTGGACAAGTGACTTAATATTCCGAGCCCCAATTCTGTCTGTGAAATGAAAGTTGTTGCATGATGAAACGAGATAGTGCATGTTACTTGGTGGCTCTTCTGACTACCAAGCCCAAGTCCTCAGGGAGTTTAATGAGGGAACACGTGCTGTTTCCAGGAATCAGCCAGAATGGGAGGCACCCTTGGATTTTGCCCCAAAGGGCTTGGTCCTAAGATGGTTGAAATTAAGGCCACGAGCTTTTCATTGTTTCTAGAGACTTCCCTTGGTTTAGTCTTGAAGGCTGAGGCTGGGAAGAATTTCTGACAACAGGGGAAAGCTGAAACGTATGCGCTTGTCCCACTGTGAAGCTCTCTGGGCAAGGCTGACCCTGGGACTCTGCCTGGGCCCCAGCTACCACTGGGCAGCCTCCTCCCTCTCTGCTTTTCCTGGAAAAGGCACAGTCAGGTCTCCACTGTGGGTGGGTGAGGACGGAGTCTCTGGTCTCACTCGGTCCCTCTGCTCTCTCCAAAGATCAGCAACGCCATCCTCATCATCTTCGTCAGCTACTTTGGCAGCCGGGTGCACCGTCCACGGCTGATTGGCATTGGGGGTCTCCTCCTAGCTTCGGGTGCCTTCATCCTCACCCTCCCACACTTCCTCTCAGAGCCCTACCAGTACACCGTGGCCAGCATCGGTAAGTGGCCTCCAACTGCTGCCCTAAGGCAAAGCTGGCAGTGGTGCTTCTGGGGCAGTGGATACCACACTGAGCCACACCGTCCTCTCTCACCAAAAACTTCCTTGGATTTTATTGTTTTGTTTCTCCCCAAAGCCCATCTGAAACCAGGACATGCAGAATTATGTGGAGCTATGAAGCAGCTGTCCCAGCTCTGGCTTGCTGAGGGTGGCACCTGCAGTGGATGGCCCACCTCCTTTGTAATTCCCTGTGCTTCGTGCCAGGAATGACTCATTGCACACAAGTAGAGACACTGGTGAATGGTGCTGTGATGGGTTTGGCAGGATGAGGGTCAGAGCATTGACCATGATGAGGTCTGTGGAATTTTTTCATGTTTAATTGTGTATTGAACACTTCCTGACATTGGTGCATTCACCATTCTTCAGGTTTAGAATACACTTGCACGATGATCTCATTTGATTCCTCTGGACACCTGTGAAGAGGAGAGAAGAGATCTAAGATGAAAACATGGCACTCAGGATGTCTAGTAACTTTCCCAAGGACACCAATCAGGGAGGGACAAACTCAGGCTTCCTGATTCTGAGACAAGTGACCCTTCTGTGACACGGAGCCTCTGGTTCTTAGTGATAGGCCCTGTGGCAAGGAGAGATGAGTGAGGATTTTAGGTAATTCATAAACACGATGTTAAAAACCACTGCATTGCCTAGTAAGAGTTCCCCTATTCTTTAAAAATTATTGTATTTTTTTATATAAAAATTTCAAACTATAGCAAAGTAAAGAAAATAATATAACAGACAGATATATTGACCATTACAATTTATCAGTTTTCCTTCGTATACCTCTTTTTTTTTTTTCTTTTTCTTCTTAACAGCTTCCTTGAGACATAATTCACATATCATACAGATCACCCATTTAAAGTGTAAAATTCAATGGTTTGGGTATATTATATTATTTTTTAATTGTGGAAAATATATATTTTCTTGTAATATATCTTTTTTCTGTAAGTTTGAACACATTTATAGATTTGTGTAACCACCACAACCAGGATACATGAGTAAGAAACTCTCTAAGTCTCTGTCTGAAAATGTCTTAATGTTACCCTTGCTTTTGAATTATAGTTGAGATACAAACAGGATTGCATTTAGTTATTTCCTCTTAGCACATTGTACCATGCCTCTGTCTTCTGGATTCTCTTGATATTGGAACTTCTTCATCAGACTTTTTAGGTATTCTGGATTTTTTTCTCTCTATTTGTGTTTATGATTATCTCTCTTCCTTGTTGTTCTGCATGTCCACCATAAGGTGTCTAAGTATGGGTTAATTGTCACTTATCTTTGGAAGTTCCATGTGCTATTTCTTTTGAAGATTAAGGTTTTTCTTTAATTCTCAAAAATTTTCAACCAAAAATGTTCCCAGTATTGATACCCAGATTTTCTCCATTCTTTTTTTTATTATTTTTTATTGATTTTTTTACAGAGAGGAAGGGAGAGAGATAGAGAGTTAGAAACATCGATGAGAGAGAAACATCGATCAACTGCCTCCTGCACATCTCCTACTGGGGATGTGCCCGCAACCCAGGTACATGCCCTTGACCGGAATCGAACCTGGGACCTTTCAGTCCGCAGGCCGACGCTATCCACTGAGCCAAACCGGTTTCGGCAATTTTCTCCATTCTTTCTTCTAAAATGTTGGACATTTTATTTCTGGTCTCCATGTCTCTTAACTTCTCTTTCATAGTTTCTAGTGCTTTGTTCATCTGTGCTGCATCCTGGGTGATTTCCTCAAGTATGTCTTCCTGTTCACTTAGTCTCTCTCTAGCTATGTTAATCTGATGTCTAAGCCATCCTTTACATTTTAAATTTTAATGGCTCTATATATATTTTTTCATTTCAAAAAGTTATTATAATAGTTCAAATCTATCTGTCCTAGTTACATGGTTTTTTGATATTTCCTTATGAATTCTAGTTTTCCTTTGTTCTCCTCAATTATTTTAAACATATTTATTTTATAGTCTTTCCAATTGTTCTTTTCACTTAAGTTTTGAGAATGCTAATCCTCCAGTGCTTTGTGTCTGCTTGCTCTTCTTTGTGGTGGATTATTTTCTTGTATATTCTATGATATTTGACCTTGGGTTCATTTGCAGAGGGTTTTTTTCCCCCCCTGTAGAAATTTTGTGTGGTCTGTGTTGGGAAATAGCCATACAGAATGGTTTGGGGTTTTTTTATTTTTTTTATTTTATTGCTTACAGTCTTACAAAGGGTATTACATATGTGTCCCTTTTTTTCCCCCGCCCTTGACAATCCCCTGGCCTCCCCTACCCCCCAGTGTCTTATGTCCATTGGTTATGCTTATATGCATGCATACAAGTCCTTCGGTTGATCTCTTACCCACCTCCCTCCTGCCCCCCACCCCTCCCCAGCCTTCCCACTGCAGTTTGACAATCTGTTTGAGGCTGCTCTGCCTCTGTATCTATTATTGTTCAAAAGTTTATAATGGTCTCTATTATCCATGAATGAGTGAGATCATGTGGTATTTTTTCTTCATTGACTGGCTTATTTCACTTAGCATAATGCTCTCCAGTTCCATCCATGCTGTTGCAAATGGTAAGAGTTCCTTCTTTTTTACAGCAGCATAGTATTCCATCGTGTAGATGTACCACAGTTTTCTAATCCATTCATCTACTGATGGACACTTAGGCTGTTTCCAGATTCTAGCTATGGTGAATTGTGCTGCTATGAACATATGGGTGCATATATCCTTTCTGATTGGTGTTTCTGGTTTCTTGGGATATATTCCTAGAAGTGGGATCACAGGGTCAAATGGGAGTTCCATTTTTAGTTTTTTGAGGAAACTCCATACTGTCTTCCACAGTGGCTGCACCAGTCTGCATTCCCACCAGCAGTGCACAAGTGTTCCTTTTTCTCCACATCCTCTCCAGCACTTGTCATTTCTTGATTTGTTGATGATAGCCAGTCTGACAGGTGTGAGATGGTACCTCATTGTTGTTTTGATTTGCATCTCTCAAATGATTAGTGACTTTGAGCATGTTTTCATATGTCTGTTGGCTTTCTGAATGTCCTCTTTTGAAAGGTGTCTATTTAGGTCCTTGCCCATTTTTTGATTGGATTGTTTATCTTCCTTTTGTTAAGTTGTATGCGTTCCCTATAAATTTTGGAGATTAGGCCCTTATCAGATATGACATTGGCAAATATGTTTTCCCACACAGTGGGTTTTCTCGTTGTTTTGTTGATGGTTTCTTTTGCTGTGCAGAAGCTTTTTATTTTGATGTAGTCCCATTTGTTCATTTTCTCTTTCGTTTCAAGTGCCCTAGGAGCTGTATCAGTGAAGAAATTGCTTCGGCATATGTCTGAGATTTTGTTGCCTTTGGCTTCTTCTAGAATTTTTATGGTTTCCTGTCGTACATTTAAGTCCTTTATCCATTTTGAGTTTATTTTTGTGTATGGTGTAAGTTGGTGATCTAGTTTCATTTTCTTGCATATATCTGTCCAGTTTTCCCAACACCATTTATTGAAGAGACTATCTTGGCTCCATTGTATGTTCTTGCCTCCTTTGTCAAATATTAATTGAGCATATTGGTTCGGGCCGATTTCTGGGTTCTCTATTCTATTCCATTGATCTATATGCCTGTTCTTGTGCCAGTACCAGGCAGTTTTGAGAACAGTGGCTTTGTAATAATACATCTTAATATCTGGTATTGAGATCTCACCTACTTTTTTCTTTCTCAGGATTGCTGCAGCTATTCGGGGTCTTTTTTTATTCTGGATGAATTTTTGGAGAGTTCGTTCTAGATCTGTGAAGTATGCCGTTGGTATTTTAATGGGAAGTGCATTGAATTTATAGATTGCTTTGGGTAGTATGGACATTTTAATGATGTTGATTCTACCAATCCATGAACACGGTATGTTCTTCCATCTGTTTATGTCTTCCTCTATCTCTTTTTTCAACGTCCTGTAGTTTTCTGAGTAGAGGTCTTTTACCTCTTTAGTTAAGTTTATTCCTAGGTAGCTTAATTTTTTTGGTGTGATGGTGAATGGGATTGTTTTTATAATCTCTCTTTCTGAAAGTTCACTATTGGTGTATAGAAATGCCTCAGATTTCTTGGGGTTAATTTTGTATCCTGCTACATTGCCAAATTCATGTATTAAGTCTAGTAGCTTTTTTTTTTTTTTTTTTTTTTTTTTTGTCCACTGGTTATGCTTATATGCATGCATACAAGTCCTTTAGTGGATCTCTTACCCCCCTACCTCCTGCCCCGCAACCCTCCCCGGCCTTCCTGCTGCAGTTTGACAATCTGTTTGAGGCAGCTCTGCCTCTGTATCTATTATTGTTCAAAAGTTTATAATGGTCTCTATTATCCATGAATGAGTGAGATCATGTGGTATTTTTCCTTCATTGACTGGCTTCTTTCACTTAGCATAATGCTCTCCAGTTCCATCCATGACGTTGCAAATGGTAAGAGTTCCTTCCTTTTTAGAGCAGCATAGTATTCCATCGTGTAGATGTACCACAGTTTTCTGATCCATTCATCTACTGATGGGCACTTAGGCTGTTTCCAGATCTTAGCTATGGTGAATTGTGCTGCTATGAACATAGGGGTGCATATATCCTTTCTGATTGGTGTTTCTGGTTTCTTGGGATATATTCCTAGAAGTGGGATCACAGGGTCAAATGGGAGTTCCATTTTCAGTTTTTTAAGGAAACTCCATACTGTCTTCCATAGTGGCTGCACCAGTCTGCATTCCCACCAGCAGTGCACAAGTGTTCCTTTTTCTCCACATCCTCTCCAGCACTTGTCGTTTGTTGATTTGTTGATGATAGCCAGTCTGACAGGTGTGAGATGGTACCTCATTGTTGTTTTGATTTGCATCTCTCGGATGATTAGTGACTTTGAGCATGTTTTCATATGTCTCTTGGCTTTCTGAATGTCCTCTTTTGAAAGGTGTCTATTTAGGTCCTTTGCCCATTTTTTGATTGGATTG